TCTCGGCCCTTTCCTGCTAACTTCCACCCACCTGTCCAGGTGGAGTTTCTGGGCCAGAGTCCGCCAGTCAGCACCCCGGCTACAGGGTGGATCCAGACTGGTAATGATCTTCTGCCGAATGAGGAAGGGGATCTTGAAGGCACTGGGGCCCACCAGGGCTGGGACCCCCCCTTCGCTCTCCAGGGCGAGCAGCTCGGCGAATCTCGTGTCCTGGGGGAGGAAGGGCCTGCTAAGACTTTCCCACTGCTGCCGCCGGAGGGGAGCGGAGTGTGGTGCTTACGTCAGCACTGGTGCTTTTGGGGCCTCCCTGTAGGCCAGGGACCTGTGCTGGGGCTCACAGGGCTGAGGCTCAGCGGAGCAGGGACCTGCTCAGTATCACAGCCAGAGGGGAGGGGCGGCCCGGATGCATTCGGGGTCCTCTGCCCTCCCAGGGCACTGTCCCTGGCCTCTGCTGACCACCCGCTCTCTTGGCCTGCACACGCCCACTCTGCTCACAGCTCCTCCCTGTCAAACTCAGGCTCATCCTTGGGCGAGCACTGTCTCTCTCCAGAGAAGCCCTCCGCCCCCACCTGGCCGACTCTGAGTTTACCCGGCATCTGCCCCTCCCTCCCTGGACACCTAGTGGGACCTGCCGAGTGGGCTGGGGAGGAGATGCCGGCAGGGGCAACAGAGGAGCCCCGGCCTGGGCACCGTGGGGGTGGAGCACGTGGGGATGGCGCGGGCCCCTCCCGCCCACCTTGGTGATGTTGAGGCTGACGTTGAAGCTCTGCCCGTCACCGTCTACCTGCCACACCCACACCTTGCAGGCCAGGTCGCTGGTGCTGGGGCTGACCCGCTCCAAGGTGAAGGTGCAGTGCAGGAAGGGCTGCGTGCCGCTCCAGATGTGGTAGAAGGGGATTTCCTGGGGGCAGAAGCGGGTGTTAGGCTGCCGCTCAGGCCCGTGGGCGCTGGCCCCGGCCGGCCCTCACCTGGTAGCTGACGAGCAGCTTGCTCTTCCACAGGGAGCTGGGCACGTCGTGGACGGACAGCCGCAGGTTGTGGTAGCTGTCCTTGAAGAGCAGGACCCGCGGCTCCTGGATCAGCTGCCCGCCCAGCTGCTGCTCCAGCTGCACCACCTCCTGCAGGGCCCAGGGCTCAGTGGGGTCAGTGTGACCCTCACACAACCAGACCCCCCCTAGATGGCCCCGGGGATCCGCCGTTCCCCTCGCACAGCCAGGGTCCTCTGCGTAGCTGCACCCACCCCCAGATGGCCCCGGGGTTAGCGGCACCCCTCCTGCAGCCCTGCCCAGGCAGGCATAGGTCTCCCCAGGGCAGGCGGGTGGTACCTTGAGTGCGTCGTGGGTGTCGTGCAGGCAGTAGACCCGGATGTCATACTCGAGGGAGGTGCAGGCCACGGGGGCAAACAGGAGCAGCTTGAGGCGCTTGGCCGCGGCCACGCTGAGGGCCTCTCCCACCAGGGCAAAGCGGCCCAGCTGCTCGGTGAAGACATAGCAGGCTCCGGCCTCCAGCTGGCAGTAGTAGAGGTGGGAGGGCGAGTCCTCACCCAGGTGCAGCACGTCCTGCGGGCGGGCCACTGGTCAGCGCAGCCCAGAGCCCTCACGCCCACTAAGGCTCGGCGAGGCTGAGGGCTGGCCTATAGGGCCCAGGCCATGGAGAAGCCGGCTGCTCACCTCCCAGCTGCCCTCGCAGGACTGCTTCTTCAAGCGCAGGCTCCAGCTCTCGGGGCTGGGCTCCCCGCAGTGGTCCATGGCGAGGATGACGGGCCGCGTGAGCAGGACTCCGGGGGGCCCGCAGCTAACGATGGGACTCAGCAGGGTCTGACAGCCGGCTAGGGGCAACCTCAAGTGGGGAAGGACAGGTGGGGAGGGAAAGGCGTCAGCGGCTTGCCCGGGGCTGGGCAGGGCAGCGCCCCGGGTCAGGGGCTATGGGGGCGGGCGCTTAGGCCAGCTCTTCCCTGCTCCCTGGGCCAGGCCGGCTGGGCAGGTCAGTGGGGCGGGGGCACCTGGGGACTGGCAGCAGGGCCGCACCCACCTCACGTCCTCTGGCTTGTGCAGCGTGAGGTAGACCTCATAGATCTTCCCTCGGGGGATGGCATCCGGGGGGATGAGGAGGCTGATTCCTGTAACAGAGGGGCAGGCCGGGCTCACCCACTGCAGGTGCTGCAGCCCACGGCCAGCCCCCCACGTGCCTCCCTTTAGGACTGACTGGCAGAGCCTGATCGGGGACAGAGGAGCCACAGAGACTGCTCACACACAGGCTGACTGCAGGAGCAGGGGAGGGGACCCAGGTGGAAGGCAGGCCTCACTAGCCTGGGCACAGAAAACAGGGACAGCAGGTGTCAGGAACACCTACCTCCCTGTCACCTGAGACTCCGGCTGGGGCCAGGGCGCTCCCTGCTGAAAGCCTGTCTGTCTCTGGCAAGTCCAGCCCCTGGCCGGGCTCTGCCTCCTCCAGCCCCACTGCCTTTCCAGCAGCATCTCCCCGGGCGCACTGCCACCTGGCCCTGCCCGAGCTCCTCTCTCCGTCAGCCCTGGCCACCTCTGGTAACTGCCACTGCCTCCACTGTCCCTGTAGGTGGGACCAGGTCTTCAGCCAGCTGAGCCAGTGTCGGCAGCTTTCCTGGCCTGGGGCCGCCCTACAGATGTCCTCCCGAACTGCTTTGCCTCTGCCCTGCCTCCTGCAGGAGCTGGATCAGGCCATCTGCTAGAGCAGAGGCCTGAGGGGCGGCAGCGGGGCAGAGCACAGCCAGGGCAGGGGCTGGGGCTGGCTAGGGGTGGCCAGGAATGGCTCTGCCCTGGGACAGGACACCCTACATCAGGAAGGTCTTGCAGCTCAGGCAGGGAGATTCTATGACCTTATCCCACCACGTCCAAAAGCAAAGGCAGACAGCCCAGATGGCAGCTGCAAGGTGGCCTCACAGAGATGGCGCCCAGGCCGGGGCACATCCAGCACACATTACAGGACTGCTCCTGGCATGGCTGCCTGAGTGGGTGCTGGCCCGGACCCTGTCACGGGAATGCTTTCTGGGCGGTGCGGGTGCCGCATACTAATGTGCGTGCTCAGGGTGCAGGGAGAACGCGGGGCCCGCTCTCAGCCCAGCGGGGAGAAGGCTGAGCAACCCTGATGGGCGAGGCCGTGCCCACTGTGAGGGGTACAGAGCCGACGGCTGCTGTGTACCTGCCCTCTGGAAGCGTGGACAGGCACCATCTCCCTGCACTGCTTGCATGCCCAGGGCCGCACCAGCCCGTGTGTGGAGGGGCTGAGGCAGAGAGCAGGTGGTGGGCAGGCCAGCGGGAGGGACAGAGCAGCAGGCAGGGTGGCACGTCCGGGCGGCTCAGGAACACACGGCTG